GCCCAAATATTTGACGGTTGCCATGTACTTGATGTCCCATCCAGACAGGTTAATATTGAGCTGGGTGTAATCTGGTCTGAAGGGTGTTTGATAGTAATGATCAGGGATTTAGTTTCATCTGGGTTAATAATCCAACTAGTGTGTGCTCCTTCTTGCCCGACCAGCTTTGCCGTCAGCTACAGCAGTTCACCAAACTGAACAATGTCAACAAGACACTGTCATGAGTGTATTCTTGGGTATGGACCTATTATTAGAATGGAAGACCAGTGAATTCCAAAGTGTGTGCACCAAGGAATGCTGCTACACAGCCGGCGAGCACATGGGCACCAAAAGCTTTGGAGGTGCGACAAGAATGCCAGCGATGAACATAAACTGAATATACAATCAGACTGCCTTGAGCACTTTGCCAGTGATTGAACCACATGGGGCTTGATTTGCAAGAAGGCCACGTTCCTTTGAGATTTGCCATGATGACGATAATGTGAATGCATAGGGGCCAGTCAGGCTGGAGACCAGATTAAGGTGATATTGACCAAATCTCTGCTGCTTTATTAAACTTTTTAATTTAATTGGGCAAGATACGTTTTAAATGCAACTTGTCCCACCAGCAGTATAAAGGAAGAAGGTCACAGCTGTCCCAAACTCCTAATTTGCTCCTTCCCCCAGCATATCTTATTGATGCTCAAAGCACAAATATTCCTGGTCCTGTATTGCCTGTATTGGAGCCTATATTGCCTAAAGGCCTGAATGTGGCCACAGCCCCGTGCAGATGAATTCATGAGACAACCACTAGCCCTCCTATGTGTTCCAGGTCCTCCCTGCAAATCTAGCCCGTTCCCAAGTGAAGGAAGACTAATACCCACTTTGCAGGAAAAGGACATTACCCAAACTCCCAACATCTGTGTGTCAGGAGCGCCAGCCAACCCAGCTTCTGGGTTTTTTTTTTCTTGTTACTGAGGGGAGTCTATCCCATGCTGCCAAGACCCACCACCTAAAGTTGTAATCCTGGGAAGCTAAAGCAAATGAACTGTATTGTGCAGCTGCCTCAATGTCCAGATGTACTTGCACAATGCAAACCCATCCAGTTACCTTCATGTGCAGAGGTGCCTGCTGGCCCCCAGCGGCTGGGACCAAACCACCCCACACCCTAATCCAAAGTGTATAGCAGAGAGAAACGTAACAGGAGCCAGTGGTTGGAAGCTGAAGCCTGACAGCTCAAATGGGAAACGAGGTACTGTTTTTTAATGGTGAGGATAATTAACCATTGGAACAACTGACCTAGGGAGGTAGCAAGTACTTTACCAAGTCTCTGAATCTAGGGCAGATCTTTTTTTGAAAGATAGGCACTAGCTCAACTGCACCTTACAGGGCTTCATCCAAGAATCCCTTGTTGAAGTTCTGTGGCCTGTGTGACGCAGGAGGTTACACCAGATGATCATAATGGTTCCTTCTTCTTGCCTCTAAAACCTGTGAAACTCCATAGACCAAGCCTGATGAAACACAGATACCCTATGCTACCAATTACAGCAAAGACAAAAAGGAGGATGGAGGATGGGCTTTTGCAGCAGCACAGTGGGTGGAGGAGGAGGAGGAAGCCTGACTCAGCCTAGCACTGCTCTTTCCTGTGTGGTCCCTCACCTCCATTAGCCAGTCCCAGTGCAGTTAGCATTAGGCTAGTGTTGGGAGTGCACCAGTGGCAACCTTAACAAACAGTGATTGCAAAAACCCCCTCCAGAGATGTGGCCCCAACCTCTGCCTTGCAATCTGAGCTGGTCATTGGGGTATGTCTACATGGCAACGTAAGCCCATGGTTAGTGGGACTCGAGTCAGTTGACCGTGGGTTAGAGAACCTGGGGCTTGAGCATCTACACTGATTGATTGTTAACTCTACGTTAAGAATTTTCTAACCCAGGCTTGAACCTGGGGCTCTGATGTCCACACTACAACATGCAGACCCGAGTCAAACCAACCATATCCACACTCCCTTCTGCTATCGCGAAATCTGCTTACGCTTGCCCTTTGACAGGGACCACAGGTCAAGTTGTGAATGCCAATGTGTGCTGCACTGGGAAAGTTAATGATGCCAGGGCTTTTCATTGCTTAGGAGTCTACGCTAATGGACAGGCTAGGACACTGTTGCCACCAAATGATATTGTAATAAGTGTTGTTACTGTCCCCACTGTTGTTCTGGAGGAGCCCACATACCCCCTTTTGTCCTGGCTTACAAAACTGTGCCCTGATTTCAGAGGCCCTGGCAAAAGATGGTTTAATTACACTCTGAACAGGTGTAGAATGGTGGTTGAATGTACTTTTGGCAGATTGAAATCCTTAGCCAGCGTTCCTGTTCCCAGAACTGCAAAGCCAAGTGTCTGCTCCTGTGCTGAAACCCTGTCCTCAAGCTGTGTGGCCAGCCTCAGCTTTCCTGTTGCCTCTTGCCAGGCCTTTTCTTTATCTGTAAGTCCCCCGTTTCTGGTACTAGACCTGGTTGTTGGCCCTCTCCAAACATCAACCATAAGGTGATTACGAAAACACTTCCTCTTGGAATAGTCCACAGAGGTATGTTTCAGGTTTGGGCTGCACTGTGGGTGAGCTATGGCAGTAGTACAGCCGGTTGAGGGGCCTGGAATAGGACAAGTTACAGGATTATTGTCTCAAATAAGGAGCACAGAAAAAATCTGTGTGGAAGTTTCAAGGGCATAAAATATTACTTTTCCATTCTGAAATTCAGTATATTGTTAAAAGAACAGGAGTACTTGTGGCACCTTAGAGACTAACAAATTTATTAGAGCACAAGCTTTCGTGAGCTACAGCTCACTTCATCAGACTGCATACATCCGATGAAGTGAGCTGTAGCTCACGAAAGCTTGTGCTCTAATAAATTTGTTAGTCTCTAAGGTGCCACAAGTACTCCTGTTCTTTTTGCGGATACAGACTAACACGGTTGCTACTCTGAGTATATTGTGACAGAGATGTTTCAGTCCACAGAAGCTCCCTGCACACAGCCTGGTTAATCACAGCAAAAGAAATGCAGAGACAATGGTAAGTTTAAAAATTCAGTGTTTTTGTTTTCTAAAAATTTCAGAACTACCTGGGGGCAGTCAGTAGCCTGGCTACAAAAGCTTTTTCTATAATTTCAGGCCTTTCACATTTTGAAGGCTGTAACTGTTCTGATGGTGCCTGACTGGCAAAGGGAAAGGTTATTCCAAGCTGCTGGTGGGAAACCCGCGGTGTATGCAGCGGAAGTAGTCTAATATCTAGTGACTGAACAGCACAGCTAGGAGGGGAGTTGAATTTTTAAACCTAAAGGTTTCCAAGTGCAGAGTCCATAATGGGTGTCACACGATGAGAGCAATTTTTTATAAAATATAAAAGTAGTGAACACTTGAATGTGTTGTATTAATTGACAACTTCAGATGATATTGAGACACTGTATATGCCTTAAAATATTGTGGGGTACAGTTAAAGTTTCAACCTTACTTTTGCATTTCCTGATTTCTTTGAGTGACTGGTTGCTCAATTTTAACATTGGGGTTTTTGGCATAGAAATAACAGTATGAAAGCTAGATTGAATAGTGTCTAACTTCAGAACTTTTATTTCTCATGGTAAATTCTCCTTTAAAGTGCCTGAACTATGCAAGCTGTCACCTTAGCAATGCCCCTATGCGTCTGTGCAGTGCAGAGAGAAGGAAATTGAAATGATCCATTCTCATCACACGCATAATCCATTTTCAGTAGAAAACTTCACCTCCATTGAGATCTCAACCAAACTGGAAGGCCCCTGGCTCTGACTAGTTTTCTGTATCACTGATAGTATTTCTCCTGACCGGCTGGTCCTCAGTTGTCTTATCTGCCTTCTGTATGTTTGAGCGAAGCCTTCTAAGCTTGTAATTCAGGGAGGCCATTGTACCTGGACTACACGCACGCGTGACATCCTCCACGCCTTCCTCAGTTAACTTTAACATGATGGGCCAGGCTGTGAGCCCCTTGTGCCCATTGATGAGTAGCTACTTACATGAGTAGTGCCTTTGAATCCACTGATTTGAGTAAGCGTTGGCCAGTGGGAGTCACACAGCCTAACCCTATGTAAAGATTCAACACTTTTGTCTTAAAGTGAGCACACATACGCTGCTACCGTTTTCCTAATGGGTACTCAGATTGTCTTGGGGTATCGTAGTGTTCTCTGTTCTGCTGTTGGTAATTTTGTCAGCACCATAGAATAAAGTAGAAAATTGAAACTCTGTGAAAGATCAACAAATCCTTGGCGAATGTCACACAGCAACATCTGCTAACTAGGCTCTATCTCTTTCTTTGACTCTCCTTTCTTTGACTCTCCTTTCAAACCCCAAATCTCCTGTTTTGAGAGTTTGGAGTGTTAGGAGCTTTAAAAGGAATTCTAGCTGTTTGTTTCTCTGTGGTCTGAAGGCCTTGAAAAAGTACCATCTGGAATTAAAATTTTATATTTGCGTGTTTCTATATTTTAGTTACAGAACAAATGGGAGTTTGCTGAATGAATTAGTTGTGTTCCATTGTAAAAAGTCTATCACGAGAGCCATTATATATGGTAGCTTAGAAAGCCCTTCAGAGAGAAATTAAAGTCACTTCCCTTTCTAATTAGGGCTTTCAGGAAATCATTGATTACAAAATCTAATGCAATTGCTCAGAGACATTTGTTTGACATTATTTCTGATAAGTGAAATTTTTACGTAATTTCACCAGAGTCTGGAAGCAGCTACACTATCTTTGATGGTAAGACTGATTTCACTAAAGCTCTTCCTCTTGTCCCTCTAAAGAATTATAGCTAACAAAACATTAGTTCCATACTGTAGGTCCAGTAAAGAATTAAAATAACCATCAGGAAATGGCTAATATAATGGACAATATGTTGTTTAAAGATGGACTGAACATCACATTAAGTGCAAACTTACCCCTCCCAACCTCCATGAAGGAACCAGCAAAAAAATTATGGCACATTTTAAAGATTCGTTGTTCCTTTTCAACAGACTCAGCATATTTCATTAGCGCCCATCCAAAAACTGGAGGAAGCACTGTATGAGTATCAGCCACTGCAAGTCGAGACCTATGGACCACAAGTTCCAGAGACTGAACTTCTAGGAAGGCTAGGGTAAGTACCACATTAGAACTTTAATCTTCATTTCATGGCATTGTATCTGGGAATGTTACCATCTTCACTTTGCCAGCAGCATATAGATTTTTTTTTTAAAAGTATCTTTAATGAAATATTAGACTTCCTGCCCAACCATCGTTTTGTTTGGGTGGATAAGCTAAAATTTTTTGGTCCTCTAGCCTTTATAGATCTATGGAGAGCTAAACTGGATTGCATTAGTGTTTTTAAGGTTGTCATTGGCAGCTGTAGTGAAGTAGCTGTTCATTTTCAGTTGCACTGTATTAAAGAGTAAATAAATAAAAAATCGGGGCATAATTTACCCAGCAGTAAGCCAGTAAAAATATCAAAGCTGGGCCTTTTGCCATGAAAAAGGGTAGATTTATTCACTGACTGCCATCTACAGTTAAATAACGTTTGTGAGAAATGAAGCATAGAGCTTAACTTTGTCAAAGTATAATGCAGGGCTGGCCCAGCAGTTTGGCTGCATTGCAGTGTGTGGCCATGTTTGGAAGGGAACTTAGGAGCCTGGTGTTCCAAGGTAATGGAGACTGAATAGCACAATAGAGGCATGCCTGCTCACCGCTAAAGAGGTTAGTAGCTGAACACCCGCTAAACACGTAGACAACCAGCCAGATGGATAGTGTCATTGAGCTGGGTCTGGCTGACTTCAAGGTCGTGCACCCTTGTTACTTCTAGAAAACACATTGCAGAACAATGAAAATGCAGGATGTCAGGGGGGAAGAAACAAAATACCAATGAGAGAGTATAGTTGGGAGGGACCCTTTGGTATGCATCTTGGGCCTGATCCAAAGCTCACTGAAATCCAAGGAAAGATTCCAGTTTACTTCAATGGGCACTGCCAACACATGCCGTTGTGTTTTCAGATGAGAAATTACACTCCTCATCCTGGGAGGGCATAGGGGTCTCAAAAAAGGTTTTAAAACACAGTCAGCCCTGATGGATAAGCAATCTAAAACTCAGTGCTGCCGAAAGACCTTCAAGCTTGTCTAGAATCACTTATTGTTTGTGTTCCCATGTATTCCTGATGCCTATCATTTTCATTATCTGATATCAAGTTTATCAGAGCAAATATTCGTCAGCTATCCCAACCCAGACATAGCTGGAGCCAGCATTCACCACCTGTTCAAAACACAGCTGTGGGGCCCTCTCCTGCAGGGGGAGTTCTGAAGCTCTGTCAGCCATGGACCTTCTTACAGATGAAAATGTTCGGGGGGGGAGAAAAATAAGTCTTTCTATGGGGAACCCCCTAGGCATTTGCATTTCATGTATAACATATATCCTGAGTAACCTGTGTGCAGTGAGATCTTGGAATCTTTCTATAATAGCTATCTCCATAGTATCTGTGTGTGTGATTGCTTGTTCCAGGAGAATTCAGCTTCTTGGAAAGTGAACCCCCTCTAAGTACTGCATGGCTTCAGTCTAGCTGCTAATGTTACATACAATAGCCCCAGCCTTGCAAATACTTATGCTCATGCTTAATTTCTGGAGAAGCACCATCAGCAAGACCCACTTAGCAGAGATGCTCAGGAAGAGGTAGGAGTACTCTGGCAGTGTGTGTGTGTGTGGGGGGGGGGGGGGCGGGGTTCTCAAGAATGCAATCCCACCTGGCTGCGAAATGCAGGTGATGAAAGAGTTTGAGTGAGTGATTTGGCGAATGTCATCTGCCACATGTGGGGGAACTGTGAGTTTCTCCAATTGAATCTAGAGGTCTTTTGTAACTTAAAAACAAATATACCCATCCTGCATGTGCCCTGCTGTTACTCCTCAAATCCCATTCCACTGGGTATTTTTAACACCTTAGACCATGCAGTACCCTACTCCTTTATATATTTGTTTCTGTATTTGCATGAACTCATGCTCATCTGTTGATGATAAATGCTTAACAAATATGTTGTAGTCCCGTGGCTGGCCTTAGAAGCAGCTGCAAACAGCTGGCTGAATGAGGCAGATGAGTTGAGCATAATGGTGTTACATGCTCCTATTGAAGACTTTTAGCTCCCTTTTAACTTGAACCATATTACAAAGGTTAAATTTAAAAGAAGGACACAGATTCTCAGTTTCTCCATCTGTCTCTCTCTCTCCTTGTCCCCCTCTGAAGTGAATATTTTCATTGGTCTATGCAAATTAGTGAGGTTTCACTTGACCGTTCAAATTTCTCAGTTTTGTAACACTGTAGTTAGTCATAGACTACAGCAAAATTTCTTGTCCCTATAATAATATTGCAGCTTGAAAACGGCAATTTATTGCTTGCTGGACAGTTCCCCAAAACGTGCAGAATTCAGTTTATCCAAACCTCAGGAACCAAGATTTTTGCAAATACTCTGTCAAACTAGTGTGGAGCCTTTACATTTTATTCTGGTAGCATCTTTTATTGATTTTAAGATATTGTTTATTACCTTCAAAGCACTCAACAGGCTGGATCCTTCAAATATTCTGGTCTTAACCTCATATTTTTCTACAACACTCGCATCAATCTTCAGAGCAAGGAAGGCTGCTCTTTTTGCAGTTCGCTGGAGTCTGCTGAGAACAAATGGGTGATTAGCGCGAAGAGTAAGAAAGAGGATAAATTCTCCCAGAGCTTATTTTAGGACTCTTGTTACTTTTTTCTAAAAAATGGTGGTTCACATTTTAATGGTCCTATACCAATTACTCACTAGGCTTCAGATAATTAAATTGTGTGGGGACTGATGAGCTCTGCAGAGCATGCCATTTCTCAAACATGGGCAAGCCACATGGAGAAATCAGTGTTCAAATAGTTTTTGAAAATTTTGTTTTCAGGCCCTCAAAGGAAAAGGGTAACTAAGTGCTACAACTTTTTTTTTCCTTCTGTTTTGTCCCCTTCTTAAGTGTTTTTTTGCTATCAACTCCTTTAAAAGCCTGAAAATAATTAAGAAATAGATTTTCAACACAAATGAATGGCTGTGTGTGTGTGTGTGTGTATATGTATGTATGTATGTATGTTATGTGTGTATATATATATAATTTTCCCTCTGGTGCAACTCAAGAATAGCTTCCTGAATCACTGGACTATAGATGATATTCCCAAATTACGTGTGTTTCTGTGGCAATTACTATTCTAATTTGCTCCAGCCAAAATGCAGACAAGGATTGAACTTTGTCAATGAGAGTTAAAGTTTCTCATTGCTAACGGCTAATTGATAGTCCCCTGACTACTCTTCTGTTGGGTTAGTATTGGGAAATCTCAGTTGCTGGCAATGCAAGGCTACCTTTCTCATAATCCCGGTTTTTAGTGTTCTTAAAATAAAAATATGAGTGTTTGGTGCTGGTCTGTAATTGAGATGGGAAACAGGTAAAAATGATTAGCAACAAAACTGAACATAAATCCTATTGGTGGTTCTGAAATTTAACCCTTTCACATATAGAGTAACGATGGACTTTTTCTCAAAAAATATCCCTTGATGCTGGTAATCAGGATATCGATAGTCTGGATCCTTAATCTTCCATTTGGTTAAAATTTAAACAGACATTTGTGGTGAGCCAAATCTGAATACCTCTGAACACCTTGAACCTTGTTGTTCTGGGTATAGATAATACATTAAAGATTGTGAGGCAATCAGATACTATGGTGGTGGGACCCAAATAAGCACCTTAAATGGATAGATCAGAGCAGTCCCTGGGCCATGCTTTGATGTCATTCACAGATGAGCTCGTCCATAGAGTGGATAACGATCAAATGTCCATGCTGATATTCCTAGATGTATCAGCTTCATGTGGTGGTGGTGGTGGTACGGCTCTTGAGTGACTCAATGTCTTCCTTTTGAGCATTCCTAGAGGGGAATGGCCAACACCAGCTCATCTTTCCGAAGTGTCCATTCATGAGTTCACTGAGTTCTGTCTGGTGGTCTCGTCTATTCAATATTTATAGGTGACCATTGGCAGAGTTAGTGCAGAGTCTTGGGCTGCATGTCTTCATTATATTGATGGAGCCCAACTCTATATTTCTGACTTATCTAACCCCATATCATGTTGCCAAGTGCCTTACCCATTGTCTGTTTGGGATTGAGATGTGAAGGAATGCTAGCTTGCTAAAGCTCAATTAGGAATAATGAGGTGAAGCTGATGGGTTATGAAAAGCAACCGAGAAATAAGTTCTTGTGCACACCATTTGTTACTCAAGTTCGCAACCTGAAGGTATTGTTGGAGCTTCATTTTCTGTTAGATGGCCATGTAGCAGCAGTATTCAAAAAGTCTCTTTCATCTCCATTTGACCAGGGGATTGAAATCACTGCTTTTGGATGCAGACCTTACTACTGTGATCTGTGCTTTCTCACCTCTGCCGTGAAGACTGCAATGCACTTACACCTGAAATCTACCCCAGTGCTCAGCAATATGCATAGGTGGCCTGTTGGTTTCTGGGTGGAGTTTAAAGTGTTGGTTTTGACCTGTAGAGCCTTAAATAGCTTGAGACCTCCCTGCTTGAGACCTATGCAGTACTGGCATGGCTGTGGTCAACAGAGAAACTCAAGCTGGCATCACTTGATTTAAAGGAGAGAGAACTACTAGCATGGTGTTCTGTGTGAGACATCTTTGGGACTTGGGAACTTTCGCTCTTTGGTCCAAAATAGTCCAGATGCGCTGACATTTGTATAATAATGCAGGGCCCATTGATTTACATAGGCTTTCAAGGTGGAGATGTTAAAATACAATTTTCTTTCTGGTTGGTTGTTTTTTGGTTTTGAAGTGGGGGGAAGACACTGGGTGTTTTTGTGATTGTACTTTGAATTTATGCCTGAGGGTCCTGGTACCTGGAATATGCAGGATTTTTCATACTTATAAATCAAGAGAAATTTTACAGAATAACTTGCAAATATGTCAAGATTCAAAGAGTAAAACGAAAACTGGGAACTGACTTAATCATCTTCCCTTACTCATGTCAGTAATACCACTGACTGAGAGTACTAATAGCTTTGCTATTATGTAAACTTGAGTCAAAAAAACCCTAAGGATCAAAACTATGTCCTTTTTTGGTCCCTCTGATGTCCTTTAAGGACATCAGGACAGTTTGGTGCACCTAAGGCTGGCAGGATTTGCTGCATTATGTTCTCTCACTAAATACAGCAGTGGAAGAGCTGCATGCTACTGACTGCTGTCCATTTCTGTAACTTGAAAATCTGCTCTTATTATTCGAAATCTTGAGACAAATTGGAACTTCATGCCTTGTAATTTAAAAACATCATCCCTGGTGTGCCTCATTCTCATTTACACTTTACGCCACCTCTGACAGAGTGAAGAGGCCTGAAATTACAACGATGTTTTGTTTTATTCCATTTGCACCTACTTTAAGGCCTCGTTACATTGCCCGAGTGCTGTACTGGAACTGTTGTGTAAATGAGATTCAGGCCTTGTGAGTTTAAAAATATCGTAATGTCTATATTTTCCCACGTAACATTGTCTGTGCAATGGAAATTATCATTTTTCCCCCCCTAAAAGTGTCTCGAGCAGCGTCCTGGGTAAATATATGTGAATCATGGAAAATTAAGCTGACAGTAGATTCAAGGATTTTAATCTGTTTTGAGAAAAATATGATTTCCCTTTATCTAGCCATTTGTTTTCAAATATAACCACATTATTCAGAGCAGTGGTCAAGTCAGGCCTTTCCCTTTTTTTTGTAGGTGAACTGCCATTGTGGCTGATATTACCTCGTTAGGACTTTTAAAAGGTAAACATAAAATGATGTTTCAAGAGCAAACAATAAGTATTGAAACAGGATTGGGCTTCTGTGGGATTTCTCACAATAGTAAAGCAAGTAGATTTGGACCTTTTTTGTAAGTGTAACAATGGGGTTGAGTCCATTTTTTTTTCCCCCCTAGTTCAGAACAGTTCAGTTATTTCAAATGTCCAATGACGACAAGGCTAGATTTCAGCTCTGTTACAACTTTGGTAGCTTTTCATTTTTAACCTTTATTTCATGTAGAAAACATGGGCATGTTTCTTTGTTGTGCAATGTTGTAGCATAATTTGAAACATATGTAGTGTTCTGGAACTTTTGTTTTGAAATGACTAGTATAATTTCTTAGCTGTCAATCAGAGTGATTTTTAAAGAAGCATTAGTAATGTCTTAGTCTTTGAGCTGTTTTTAAATCCTTGTTAGTCTGCTTCTCAGTCAGGTCAGTTGCTGATAACTGCTTAAACTGAGTCTCTGCATTAATTTCCAATAAAATAACTGAGAATTGATTGGAAGGAGTACCAGGGCCTCTGAATTCCAAAAATTGTAACAGGTGATTTTTCATGTCAGCTGTCTTCTGACAGGGGGATACAGATATTTTTTGAGCCTTACAAAGGGAGAAAAACTCTAATGTGCAGCTCTTTTCAAGTTGATCTGTTTTGGCCCATTGATTCTGAACACTAAGTTCATTCTGCTTCCTCTGAATAGAATATAGTTTCTTAGCCAGCTCAGTCATCAGAGAGCCGAAAGATTGAGTAATGGTAAGGAAGGTCTGATTTGAAACGTATACTTCGCAGTTGCTGTCCCTTTATTCTTATAGGAATTCTGTTGGCTAGCAGGGCACACATTCTGATTTGCAACAAGTTTCCTGTCCTAGGGCCTTATCAAAATTCCTTTGAAGTAATTGGAAAGATTCTGATTGACTTCATTAAGCTTTGAATCTGGCTGCTGATAAATGAGAATTGGCAGGTAGGAGGTGGAGTATTTATGCTTTGAGGGACATAACAGTATCTGGACACCTTTCTGTGCAGTGTATCCACACTTTAAAAAAAAAAAAAAAAAGTACTTGTATGCACTTTGCAGTGAGCAGCTTTGAATAAAGACTTGTGAAGAAAACACACTATATTTTATATATTGGATATGCAATAGAATAACTAGTGCATTTCCTTCTTCAGAATCAAATGGAAAGGGAAGGTATAACAATTCATAAACAATGTTAATTTTGAGCTGATTTAGGAGCTGGTTTATATTGCTTTAACATACTATTTGAAATCCTGCAGGTTTTGTTATAAGGGTTTGGAATGCTGAGGGTTTATACAGGAGAGGCAGATAAGCACTGTCTTTTTTCAACTGAATGGAAATCAGCCTGTAGTGTGTCTGAAGTCTTACTGTTTAAGAAATCGACTTTTTGGCAAAAATATCATATGAACATTTCAAATGACACCCTGTAGTACATGGTGTTTTGCATGGTGCTCTTCTGTCAAGATCATTAGAAATTGAATATATTAATAGTGGACTGCTTTTGAAACAGAGTTTTACTTCCTGCCTGCCCACCTGTGGGTATAGTGTGGGTTCTGTAACTGTAAAGGGTCTCGGGAGAGTTATAAAAGCAAAGAAAATGGAAAATGTATGAAGAAACAAGAAGGGAAGCCTGCATACACCATGTAGTTACTTTAAGTATAAGTTGGCTGCAGTTGTATATGTACCACTAAATTAACCTCAAAAGCTGGTCATGACAGCAGAATGTCCATAGTAATTGTTTTTGTTGGCGTTTGGCTTCAGAATTAACTCATCGATCTAACATGAACCTCTGTGCTTGGAATACTAGTCTGGTGATGTTATTTTTTTACCTTTTTCATGCAATCATGGAAAAAATATGTTTCTGCTTGAAGCAGTTGTCAAACAAGCTTCTTTCATCGACAATCAGACACAGGGCAGCTGAATAGGGCTGTTTAGTCTAGAGTAAATACTCAAGAGATTACAAGGTCACTGTAGGAAATGTAATTATACCATTTATTCCAGAACAGTCTTTTGTAGTGTGAGCTTGCAGAATACTAAATCATGATGTTTATTAAATGCGTGTGTATATTTATATATAAATAAAAATTCAGCACCTACCTTTGAGAGCAGAGGAGTGTTGAGTAAACTGCACTAAAGAATGAAAATGGTAAATAGCGATAAATATTAAGCTGGCTTCAAAAAGCCATGATTCATATTTTGGCTTTATTACTGTAATCACTAAGGGGCAAATCCTTCTCTTGTCTTCACAGGTGTCAGTGCTTCCCCTTCAGCAGTGCAGTTGTGCTGTGTGGAGCAGGTGGGGATGTCTCTTCAGGGGTTGTGTGCCACCGTGTGATAGAGAACCTGGCTCTAAGGGGCTCACTCATATTGGCATTAAGATGGTTTAGGGTCCTATGTAGTGAGTTCTCCCAGATCTCTCTGTCTCCCTCCAAAACCAAAGTTCTCCCTCCACCCTCCATTTTGAAATACCAGAGGGATCATTACCTGGGGTAGTTCCTGCTCAGTATCAGGACTGGGTGGGGAGCCCGCTCCTTGATTTCCTGGTCAGAAGATCTTGCTTTTGTGGGACCTGTGCATGCAAGTTTTAAAGCTTCCATAACTTTCTGCCTTTTCATGGAATTTTGGAGGCTGCCTAGCACCTTTTCAATCTCCCTTTCTTTCCCCCTTGCCTTGCCCTTCTTAATTCTGTCTCTCTCCTGTCTCCCCACAATGCAGCATGCCTCTGCATTGGGAATTGTACAGCTGGTATCAAGATGGTGGCTAGGGCAAATTCCTGATTGTGTTCCATATGGAACGACAGCCGCCCCTGCCCACTTTCCCCCCCTTCCCCCAGGAACTGGAGAGTCCAAATGTCTTCAGAAGCTCCTTCTCCAGCTTCCGTTGTTGTTTCTGGCACACAGCCACAAATAATGCTATTCAAGCCCAGTAGTATCAGCATTACAGTGGCATCAGGCCATAAGGAGAGTAAGGAACGGAGTCAGTCTGATAACGGTCCTTCAGAGCATGAGTAGGCACAGGCCAACACCATACCAGGTATCACAGGAGAACTACCTCCTCTTGCTCCTGCTCAGAACTTTGGAGCTCCCCAGCCTCCCCAACAGACCACAAGAGGTACTTAGATGGATGATCACAGAAGTGTGTGGCCCTCCCCACCCGGCCTGTCCAGGCAGTCTGCCCTCTCATCCAGCCTAGACACCACCAGCATTTCCATAGGGGTTTGCTTGGCAATTTCAGCCAAATCCAGTGCTAAAGAATTAACTAAAAAGCTGAAGGGAAAGAGCATCCTGTTCTGAATGACCCAGTTCCTCTCTCTCCAGGTCATGCAAGAAATCTAGGAAGTTGCAAAAATACAGTGAAGAGGTCCAAGAAACAGATGAGGTATTCTCAGACTCTGAGACTTCACTCCTGGAAGAAGGGGAAGTATTGGATCCAGATTCAGAAACACTGGAGGTGAACGGATAGGAAAGACTTCCCCACATCCTTTTCACTATGAAACAGAGATCTGGTGACGCTTCTAAACGAGACTCCAGTAGCCCCAACAACAGTATATTTATTATCTTTGGAGCAGAAACCTAATCTTGGCTTTTATTAATGTAACTGTAGAGAAAGTGATCAAGTCAGAATCGGAGCAGCCAGCGAAATGAAGGTACCTTAACAGAGAAGTAGTGAGTTCTTCAAAATCGCAGAAGCAGTGCAACTCCTTGGCCTGGGTTCCAGAAATAGACGCAATAGTGGCAGAGACCACAGCCTTCCAAATGGGATTTGTTCCCAAAGTATGAAATGGACCAAGAGATTGCAGTGGCTTTGCTGGCCCACTCTCGGGCAGCATGCTTCTTGAAATAGTCTCTTCCTAGAAAGAATGTCACTTGGAGCCTTAATTGAGCTTTACAGGCTACTTATAATTGCTTTGATCGCAGTCAGTCATTTTTCCTAACACCTTTATTGTTGGTAGATAATATTCTTTGCGGCGATCATCTCAGTCAGGAATGTTTCAAAGCTGGGAGCATTGTCTGCAGAATCCAAACGCTGCGTCTTCCAAGCCAAGAAGGTATGGTGCTAAGAAGTAGTGAGTAATTCATATCAAAGAAGAATGCCATTTACCTTCAATCCCAGAACAACTGTAGTCTCATCATTCTGCCCTCACCCAAAGGATGAAAAGAGAAAAATATTGTAGAAATATAGTCTCCTACCCTGCAAATACATATAAGTGTAAGATAGGGTGACCAGACAGCAAGTGTGAAAAATCAGGACAGGGATGGGGGGGGGGAGGGGTGCGGGATGTACTAGGAGCCTATATAAGAAAAAGACCCAAAAATTGGGACTGTCGCTATAAAATCGGGACATCTGGTCACCCGAGTGTAAGAAGTCCCTTGGCCTCAGGTTGTGTAAAAGTACTCTTGTTGATGCAAGTTTGCAGGTCGAGGCCCTAGATTGCAAGCTAAGCAGGTCATGGACTATGTTGTTCATATGTCAGTAAAGCTCATGTATGGTGCTGTATAAATAATAAATATGATCCTCTTTTTTTGAAGTCAATGGAGTGATTTTTGAGGATCAGGCTTATAGTACATTCTTATTTAAAAACTAAAATTGGACTGTGGGGGAGGGACTTTGGAAAGGGAGGGTCTGGAAGTGGCCAGGTGAATGTGTTGACTGTTTTGGTGACTGAGCATGAATTTGTGTTTGTTTTTTAAAAAGGAGAAAAAATTGAAGACCTTTTAGAAACTTTAATTTGTCCAAGGAATGGCAACGTGATTATTAGCGTGAACACACTTGCTTTAAGTTTTGGATTTCCAGATATGTCTAAATGGAAGGAAAACAGACATAAAGGAATGAGTTGTTTTGTTGGCATTATGTATTCTAGATACCTTTTATTAATCATAAAAATTTAATTAAAAAAACTGATCCTGAGACATGGAAGTCCACATGTTTAATTTATGAATCTCCTGCATCAGTATTTGCAGAATCAGAGTAAATATTTGTGTAAATTAATGGTATCTCATAAGGATTGGTCTCTAGGGCTTGTCATCCTAAACATATAGGCCACTACGGGAGCTGTTAGGGGCTCATAACTTTGGAAAAACAGGTAGCTTATTTAGGCCCTGATCCTGCAGGGACTTGTGTGTGTTTCACTTTATGCACAGTGACCTTGACTTCAAGTGAAAGTACTCATGTAAAGTGAAGCAGACTCGGAAGTCTTTGCAGGGCTGGGTGCTTAGCTACCTATATATAAATAAGACTATGGGTCATGGGCAATAGACAAAAAATCACGGCGCACGGCCTGTCCAGGACCTTTACTGTAGATACCTCTGACTAAATCTTAGGTGGGGGTCCCGGGGTGCTGATATTCTGGGGGAGGGGGGGTCCCCTGGGGCCAGCCCCACTGGCTGCTGCCTGGGCTGTCTGCGGGGACCACCAGCACCTGGTTGGGCGGTCCCCAGCGCCAGCAGCTTGAGGCCGCCGAGTAGGGGCTACTCCAGCCGTCCCTGGGGCTGCTGCTCCGGACGGTCCCTGGAGCCAGCCATGCCAACTGCTAAGCAGCGGCTGGCACAGCTGGGCCCCCGGGGCCCCCAAGCAGCAGCTGGTCCCCAGGGCAAGGGCCAGCTGTTTGGGCGGCCCTGGGATCAGCCACACTGGCCACTGCAGAAGTCATGGAGGTCATGGAAAGTCATTTTAGGCTTCTATTTTTAAAACTAAGGCAATAATATTTTTAAGATACTTTACATAAACCCATAGTGAAGATTTGGGCTTGCAAAAAATATTGAGATGTTGGTTTTCCTGGCTTCAGAATCAAAATACTCCAGTCAGGCTGTGTTTCTAATAATGAAATAATGACTTAAACATACTCCGACTTCACGGATTAGCTATTGCTCAGGCTTGAAGGTAATGCTACCATGTTTTTGTTTCTTTACCTAAATGGTTTTAAATGTAAAATCATAAATCCTATGCAGTGGGAGTGGAAAAGGGGGGATGGTTTTCATTTGGCATAATTTCCTGTGAGACATAGTTCTAAATAAGGCCCATATTTACATAAGACAATACAGTTTTTTACATAGTAGTAGTATATCCAGCACATTTTAAAATTGTTTAGCCATCCCTGGGTATTTAATACCGTCACAATAAATGTGTTTAATAAAGGTGAGTGAAGTTTGAAATAATTTTTGAATAATTTTACAGTAGAAACACCAGTTAAATCAACCCCCTTGCAGTAATAAATGTCAGAAAAACAATTAATTATACTTGCTTGCAACTGCAAAATCAATTGTGTAACTGTTCTTTTAAAACAGACTTTTACATTACTAAAGGCTAAACACTACGCTTCTGTAACTTGTCAGAATCAGGTTTTGGTTAATAGATATTTTCAGTGATGTAATGGGAACTTTTGGCAGTGAGTCAGAATATAATGGACTGTGATTAATGTTTTAATAAGTACTTTTCTTCTACTTATGATGCAGTGGTGAAATGGTTTCCTGCTCAAATTGATAGGAGAACAGCAGGTGTGCATACATATTTTTTCTTTAAGAAAAATAAGTTGTTTATCTTTTAAGCAGATTTTTTTTTTTAATTCAAACGTTGTTAGGTTTGTTTGTCCTCTTTCAGTCTTAGCAATTATTGATGTCTGTAATTTGAAAATGTAAGCTACCTTGGAAACCTTTCCATTACCTAACAAATTGCTTTGCAAAAGAGGAAATTCGTTAGTTTAAAAAATAATTTTGATTTATTGATATTTTCTTCAGTAGAAGAGATTTATTTAAAAATAGCTTGATAGTAATTCAAATGAGTGTCTGAACGAAGTGTGATCCTGAAAACATTACAGGATTAGATTTCTTATTAGAGTTGATGTAATATATTTTCTACATGCTTGAGTTACTTTCAGTATGAAAGTAGTGTTATTTTTCTACATTTAAAATGTTTCCACAAAAAATCCAAATAATTTATTTTTCAGTAACATTTATTTCCTTACCAGTCGATCTGGAGTTGCCACACGGAAAGCATTTTCTAGAGGACCAGTCAGCTGTAGTCCCAATGATGATATTTTCCCTAAGCAGCAAAGTTCTCGCTCTGCCCAAGACAGGAGCATAGTCTATGTCTCTAGTATGCTGCTTTAGTGAGCTTATTCGCTAGCTGCCCTTTCGCTAAGTAACTGGAAAACATCGGGGTAATGGGGCTTGGTGGGATTAGTAGCTAACCTTCTCTCTGTTTCCTTCCTCCCCCCCTCCCCCGTCCTCATAGGTGGCTGCAGACATAATGCACATCCACCTGAGGATGATTATTACTTAAGATTTGTATGACAGAGATGCCTAGAGGCCAGCCAGGTTGGGGCCCCTTTGTGCTAGGCACTGTACAAACATTTAGAAAATGGCCCTCTCTGCTCTCAGTTGTTTATAGGGTGAATGTGGCTCGGTTGTGCCTGCTCCCACGCCTTGGAAGGCCACCACTGCAGCTCGGGCGAGACGATTGAGGCTGGCTAATGGCACGTTAAGCTTTCTCACTCCAAAATGGTAGGCAAGCCTATCTGGAAAGGCAGAAATGCACGACCAACAGAGCTGTGCAGGAAACTACATGTGAAATGGCTGGCCCTGGATGAGAGATTGCTCGGTCCCTGCTCCAAAGCAGGTGATCTCCCCTCCTCTGAAGAGTCTCTTGAACACCTTTTTGTCTGGAGATTTCTCCAGGGGACTTAAGATTTGTCATACCAGACCCTTTCTCTCTTCACTCAGGAACTTCCGTGACTCCTCCGTTCTCAGGTACGTCAGCCTGACCTTAAGAAACTTGAACTGTTTCTTACAGGCATTGTATCAGCACAGTCATACTTTGTAACTTGAGAATTTCACCTAAGAGGCCACTATACCCCAGTTCTATAGCAGTTCTGTGCCCCTGTGTCACCTGATCTGTGCAGAAAAGGCTGTGTTCATGCATTTCCTCTACTCCCTACCACTTCTTCCATCTATGTCACCTCCAGAGGAGAATTCAGAACATGGACCCTGGCCACTGCCTTTATCTCCTGTGTCTCTCTCTTCCAGAAGGTACAAAAACAGAGGAAAGCATAGGAATAAACCCAGATAAAATTCATCCCTCTTCTAAGAGCAGGAAGGGGGAACCTCCTTTTCCTTAAGCTGAGAATACACAGTCAGGCACTAATGGAATGGGCAAACTATTCAACTCTGATTACCTTGATTCACTTCACTTCACTTTAAATCTCCCTATTGTGTGTGTGTGTGTGTGTGTGAGAGAGGATCTGGATTCCGAGGTGATCTCAAAATGAGGAAGCACATGGGGGATCCTATTCCAGTTTCACTTCAGTGCACAGTTAATTGGAATGGAAGGTCCCACAAATATGGGTTTGTTCATAGACTTTGCCTTTAAACTATAAATGGTAAAAAGCCCTCTACATTTTTCTTAGGACCTTGTGTAGCTGCCTCCTTTTCTTTTCTCACCAAAAGAAAGAGTCCCAGCAGAGGATAATGGCATCTTGAGATCCAGTGGATAAAATACTGGAGGACATATTTAAGAGACTGTCATGGATTTGCAGTAGTTGGCTCAGTCCTTCTCCAACCCCAAGGAATCCATTGGACATCTCCTACGCCTTTTGGTTTCTTGGTTGAAAACAATCCCTTGGTTCTTCATTTATGTGAGACATTTATAAATCTCCCTACTCCTTATCTGGGATTATCAGGGTGGAAACTATGTACCTTGCCTCTATCCTGCCTCCATCACACTCTTAAAACAGGCTGCCTGAAAGATGATGTGCTGTTAGGGAAACCTGTAACTGTTCCAATCCATTATGACAGTTATCACTTGGTAGGGATGAGCACTCAGATGAAGGGAACCTGTTCTGCCAAAGTCGCTGGTCCAAAATGGCAGGTTTCAGAGTAGCAGCTGTGTTAGTATGTATTTGCAAAAAGAATCATAGAATCATAGAATATCAGGGTTGGAAGAGACCTCAGGAGGTCATCTAGTCCAACCCCCTGCTCAAAGCAGGACCAATCCCCAATTAAATCATCCCAGCCAGGGCTTTGTCAAGCCTGAAATCGGATGCATTCGATGAAG